CTGCTGCTCCGCCTGCCGCCCCGCCTGCCGCTTCATCAGGTACTTATCCATTCTTATTCTCTAAATGGTTACTGAATCAATCAATTCTGTTTTTAGAGTTTATTATAATTTTTGAGGAGCTTGTCATAACCCAGAATTGAAGGTTTAACAAATATAAAAGCAGCATCAGACACAAATGAGTTAGTGGATCTAGATCATTAGTACTTTAGGTATTCCATTGAAGATAGAAATTTTAGGTCTAATCGCAGCTGGATTTCTTTGGACTTGCTCGTTCAAGGCATATACATACTCTTCCAACTACCTTCTGTCTTTTTTGCATCTGCTTGATCCTCACTGCAATTTCTTGTTAAATGTCTTGGCTTCCCACACTGGAAACATGCACCCTCTGCTCAAAATGTTTTTTCGCCGTTCTTTCTTGTAACAATCTTTGCCTTATGTTTCTGATGGCACACTTTGAATTCCAGAGCTTCTACTTTATTGATGAACACCCCCTTTCTTTACCCTCTGCTCAACCCTCTTATTCTGAGGTTGGATGTGGCTGATGACTGCTTTACCTTTGCCTCCCTGTTCAGTATTTTTTTCCTTCTTGGCATTTTGGTATTGCTCAATTACTTAAGCCTTTTTCACTGCAGCAGCACCAGTGCCCTGTTCTACTGGCCTGGTACTGATCTATTGTCATATCTTCTTGCCTCATTTCATTTAATTCCTGCTCCTCCTTAGTAAGTGTAGCTTGAGAGAACTAGGTCTCATACAAGTCTCTGATAAAATCCCTCCAAGGTAAGCTCTCCCCCCTCTCAGTATACCTTTAGCCTCTCCTCTAAGCATAAAGGTGACCAGCAGAACTTTGTGATGATCCTTGCATCTCATGTATCCACTCATTGGCATCTTTGGTGTGTTGTGTACCCCTAAAGGTAGGTGGATGCCATTTCTGAAATTGCTTCAGTTTGGCTTGATATTCAGGATCCTCCTCAAACAATTCAATCCCCCTCTGGACTCTCATTCCCTCCATATTGCCTCTGAACATTTCGTTGCTGGTTCACATCTTACATTGCTTCTTCTACCATTTCCCTTATAATAGTTCACAATACATCCATAGAAACTGTCACCACTCCACCAGCACTAACATTCTGTTGTTGTTTATTAATTCTGGTGGCCCCTCTGCAGGCACGATCCACCTGCCCTGCAACATTAGATTACATTAAAGAAAAACAGGAATTGAATACTTAGTTAATTAGGATTAGAATTTGTAGCTTATTAGAATCTTAAAATTAGAATTGAATTAAAAGTGTTGGCTATGTTAGTATATATAGTTATTTGAGATTTTAGTTTGAGAATAAATTTGTGGTTGAAAACCTAAATCTTCCTGGTTCCATCTTTAATTTGACAGAATTCTTAGTTTCTGTTTGTTCTACTCCTACTTTCTTAGTATATAGATTAGTATGCACTTCATTTACCTGAAAGTTTCTCCGATCAGTCCATGACTTAGCCAAAACATCATAGACCTTCCCCTTTTGAAAGGAGATTCAACAATCACTCTTCCAGCAGCAGTATTAGAGGGCTCCACTTCCTGGTAACCACGCCCGATTGCGCCATAATCGACCAATAGGGGAAAACAAGCAAAAACAACAAAGACTATAACAAATTTTTTGGGGTTTTTTTGGGCTAATAGCTAGATACATGAAGTATAAAACTACTCTAGTAACGTATTTAGGAATTTTGGAGGTGAGAAACTAAGGAAACGAGAAACAACGGCGAAAACACTTTTTGGAGGCTGTCAGATTTAGGAACGGAGCAGGTAGAAAAAACTATGAGAGAATCTGAAATCATGGAGAGGGGAAGGAAAACTAGAAGGGAGTTAGGGAAAAAGAAAACTTAGAAGGCTAAAGAAAGCTGAGAAAATCGCAATGGAGGGGAGGGATGCGACGACTCTCATGCAGTTCGTGGAACCCTAGCGGGGCAGGGCTACTTCTTTCTAGATCGGGATTGAATCGAATTTTGGCTTGTTTCGTGAGAGAGATAGCTTATTAGTAAAACTTTTAGTTTATAGGGGGAGAAAATTAATAGGAATAACTATTAAGTAGGTCCACTGCAAAGAAAATTGTAAAAAAAAAAAACTCTTACCTTATCAGAAGAGGTGTAAGATGTTGGAAGAGTTTAGTAAAGCGTACGGAAAGCTTGCCCCCCAAACTAGACGCCCCCAAATTGATAGTTTCGTGTGTGGTGAAGTTTATTTGTCAAAGTTTGGGTTTTGAGTAGGAAATTGCAGGTGTAGAATCCTGAATCAAATCCTCTGTCTGATTAAAATTAAATCAATGTTAATGGGTTTTCAGTTTCATTTCAGCCTTTTGCTTTCTGTAATTCTGACAATAACAACGACCTATCAATTAACTTTTGTTTTTATTTGTGGTTCGCAGTTGGTTTTAGTGGCATCTCTGAGCATGAAGCAGCTATTAAAACATGCGATATAGTAATCAATGGAGGTTGCACAGACGAGGAATGCTGCAAGCTTCGCTGCAAAAGGCGGATACCGTACGCGGAGACCATCGAGGTTAGCCATAAGGTTACAAATGGCGCTAATCGGTGCCTCTGTCACGCGACATATAGAGGGAAGCCAAGTTCTTGTGCGCCATGAGTGTCGGTGGTGGTATATAAACATAGAAACCAACTGTAATTCTTAACTTTGTACTTTGAGGAGTCGCATGTACATTGAGAGTCGCATGGTTTAGATCTGAGTTGGGGCGTAGATAGGAGTTTAAAATCTCACTTTCATTTTTAACGGAAAATTTTGGGAAAGTTTAGGAGAGATGGTAACTTGCCAACCCAACAGCCCCTAAGAAGCAAATTTGTTTTGTTCTGTTGCCCAATTGAATAAAAAAAAAAGTGTGTTGAAGTATGTAAATGTTTCAAATGAAAATTGGGGTATTGATTTGCACACATTGACACAAAAAGTACAGATCCTTTGAAATTTGTAAATGGTTCATTTTCAGTACCAGAATGGCTATCATATAGTTAAATTCCGAACTTGAGCTACGGATCAAAGTAACTCAATAAATTTATTCATTCTCAGATTTAAACCATGTTGGCTAAAAAACCAGAACTGGTTGCAAAGAAGAGAATTAGCTCATGGCTCAAAGGTCATGTTTTCGGCCTCTTTCCTGACCGATTCAAAGAGCACTGACGACAGATACCTTTCTCCAAAGCTTGGGAAAATCACCTGCAGATATTCATGAATGGAACTGATTTTAGTGTGATGTAAATTTTGAATAAATGAATGAAAGAAACTCCATGCTGTTCTTGATACAAAAACTCCACAGGTATAGATATGTATTATCCCGTTGATTATTGCTTCAAATGGATCCTATTCTATTGTCCTCCATTGCTCAATCAATCTAATCAGTCACTCCAACTTAAAAAACACTTCAAATTAGAAGTAACATGCTCATGGTTTTTAGATAAGGCAAACAAGGTTAATTTTCAAGGTTAGTTAGACAAAGGCCCCCCCTCCTAACAATGTACATAAGGCAAGCAAGGTTGATTTTCAAGGCTATGCTCATGCTCATGGTTCAAATTTGTCTATATAATATGCTCATGGTAGGTAAGGCAAGAATATTCAAAATAAGACCAAACACCTTAGCCTTCAAATAGATTCAAAAACTGGTCCAATAGAGAGTTTCATAAATCAAGAGCCGAGAAATAAAACGTACAACAATGAGTTTTCCAGCATTTTCAGGTCTCTTAGCAATTTTAATAGCAGCTGCTGCAGCAGCACCAGATGATATTCCCACCTGCAAAAGAAGCTTCTAAAGTCAGCATGACGGGAGGGCAGAGTACAATTGGATGACAGAAATTCAAATAAAATAGCAAAAGAGCATAGGTTTTAAATTCCAATCTCAGAGATTTGAAAGGTTGGGAACATACAAGCAAGCCTTCCTTCAGTGCAAGAAGCTTTGCAGTTTCAATTGCTTCATCACTTGATATCTGCAAATTTAAAGAACTGGCAATTAAAAAAATGGGGGAATTTTGAGGCCATTACAATTTTATTAAAACTTTGTAAAATTAGCAAAACACTAAAATAACCGGCTAATCGTTTTAATATTATATCATCATACCCATGAAGAAGACTTGTTCAGATAACAACAAAACAAAGTTAATCCAGAATTGGCTTTTAAAAGCATTGCGATAAATTAAATACACTTTGTCCTTACCTGAACAACTTCATCAATAAGACTGACTTCCAAAACACCAGGGATAGAACCAGCACAAATTCCTTGGATCTTATGTGGACCTTCACATTAATACAATAAAATTGATTTAGTAATTTTGCAAACCAAAAGATTCTTAAACTCATAACAAATAAATAAATAGAGACAAGGAGACCAGAGTGAATGTCATTAAAGGAATACATTAGATCATGGAAATCAAGACATTATTGAAAATAATGGCACAGTGTAAAAGGAACCTATATGCTTAAGAAGGCTGATTATAAAGGAACTATTCCAGATTGACCGAGTAATCAACTGCAAAGGTTTGATAATGTTGGAGAAAAAACGCTTAGATCGGCATATACAAATAAAAAATCACAAAATTTTAAAGCAAAGTCAAGAAGGACTGTGCTCTACATAATAATGAAAATAATTTGGCAAAACAAGATCTTGCTTTAAGGAAACAAGATGCATGCCCAGTGAAAAATATGCCTTCAGGAACCTGTAGCAAAAAACAGGATGAGCAAATCATCCATGGCCATGTAAAGATTACCGCTTAAACTCACCAGGCTTTGCCTCCAGAGAGAACAGGACTTTCAACTGGTTCCACTCCATATAGCTACCATGAAAAAAGGAAAACTAATGAGAAAATTGATGGTGAATGATGACCAAAATAGTACAGATTCAAGCTCTTAATTTAATTTCTTAGACTGCATAAGACACACGTCAACAAATCTTATAGCAAATTATTTCTTAGTATGAATAAGATTCACATTAACAAATCCTATAGCAAATTAACATCCACAATGAGAGCTCATTACCTTGATATTGGGGTTCTGCTCTCTAAGATATTTGCCTGCACCTGTTATGGTACAACCAGTACCTATCCCAGAAACAAATGCATCAATTTCTCCATCTGTGCCTTTCCATACCTCTGGTCCAGTTGTCTCATAATGTATCTACACAAAATTGTCAGATATTAGTTTATTATACATTTCCAACCAACAACTGCACCACTAAAAGGTAAATTAAGAAAATACCTTTGGATTGGCAGGATTTTCAAACTGCTGGAGCATGTATGCATCAGGTGTCTTAGCTAAAATCTCCTCAGCCTTCTGCACAGCACCCTTCATGCCCTTAGCTGGATCCGTAAGAACAAACTCAGCTCCTAAAGCTCTGAGAATGATTCTTCTTTCAAGACTCATCGAAGCTGGCATTATGATAATAAGCCTGTAACCCTTGGCTGCAACCATAAACGCTAATCCAATTCCAGCGTTTCCACTGGTAGGTTCAATGAGGACACTCTTCAGAAACATTCACAGATCACAATCAAATTCATCAGAAACTCAACAGCTTAAAAATTCACCCAGAAGACAAAATCCCTCGTTCATTATTTAACTATTTTCCCTGGGTACCCCCACTAAGTGCATGACTAAATAGACTAACTATGATCTATGATGTGTAAATTAATTAAGGTAATAATGTCCAACCTAAAGTTTTAAATTACAGAAATAAAAATAAAAATAAAAAAAAAATAAATAAAAAAACCTACCTTGCCAGGGGTGATAAGGCCCTTTTCCTCAGCATCTGCAATCATGCTATAACCAATCCTGCACCATCAAGACCAATTATCAGGATTAAAAAAAATCTAATAGTTAACATAAGAAACACATTCAGAATTCAAATCAGCATAGTAATTCCCAATGTTAAGATAAGAACAAACTCAAGAAAAAGACAAAAAAAAAAAACTGTTTTTAACACTAGAGCATGGTTCCCTGAGCTCAAGCTTGGCCGCAATGCGACCAACACAACCATCCAGGATCTGATTAAGATATACCAACAGTGTTTTACCAATAAACTACACAAACAAACAAGACATAAGTAGATGAATCTTCCTCTAATCTCCACCAATATAAACAATATTACTAAAAAAAAAAAAAAGAGAGAAAGAGAGAAAGAGCTTACTTCAGTGTCATCTTCGGCAATCCCAGATCTCTCAGCAGCCATGTTTCCCAAGAACTGTGATTCAGAAAACTGACTGATTACAAAAAGAGGATCAATTTACCCCTTTTTTTTGGGGAGGGGGGCACGGTAGTGCATGTATAATCCCTTAACCATCTCTTTTGTCAATAACACATTAATTATATACAATCAAAAAAAGGAGAGCAAGATTGTCATGGCCAACCTACCAATATCTGGTAGAAACCACTATTTAGATGCAACATGAATACATATACAATAGATCAAAGCTTGGAAGCAGTCCAGCTCGCTGCATTATATAAGTTACTCAGATTCAGTAAACAACAAAATGTGGAAACACATAAAAGTGTAGCCCCCTTGGTGGTTACAAAACCAAGTTAAAGCAGATTTTCATGAGAATTCCAAATGACAATGCCATCACCTCTAGTATAGGAGACGGGGCTGTTAATGATGAATGAAGCAATGGTAGGTCATCTGCATGTAAACAAGTCACTTCACCAACAGGAAATTTGGATCCACACCTGCCAGCTCTGCCTGGAAAATCAATAAGTTCATTAAAATAAAAAAAGTGAAGCATATGGAAACTACCATGCTGCATGGATCATCAACTTTAATATGGGTGACCAAAACAAAGAACCTTAATGTCAGTTTTCAGCAAAGGGGCTAACACTATTAACACTATATATCAGCACCATGCAACTTGTATGATTGAGAAAACTGAAAAGAAAAAGAATTTAACAGATTACTACCAATCCAAATACCAACTATGTTAAAATTTTAGTTAGAAATCCAAGTTACCTGCAATCTGCTTTATCTCTGGTACTGTAAGCTCCCTCATTTCAACACCATCAAACTTTTTCATAGTGGAGAATATGATCCTAGAAATATTCAGATTAAGAAACATCCCAATTGCATCACTAACCACAAGCACATCAAACTCACTAGTTTCATCATTAAACATTTTTTTCTGCAATCTTAAACAGCATATTAAAAATAAATAAAAAAGAATAACAACTATAAATGATTAACAAAGAAGATTCATCATTGCATGACAATAAAAATAGCATATCAAGATTGAGAATTGTACTGAAGAAGAAAAATAAGTAGAAGAAGAATGGCACCTGTCTTGTATGAGTCTCTGGTGGCAATGAACCATAAACCAAAGAGCAAAGATGTTTCCCCCCATCCTGAATTTGCTCCTGGAAAAGTAGAAAAGATCAGAAATTACTTTCAGAAGGGGAGAAAAGAAGGGGCACGTGATTGGAGAGAATCAAAGTTTGAAATATTTATATGCATACGTCAATACCAAAGTTAAAGGGAAAATTCTTTCTTCAAAAATAGAAATTGCAGGATCTAAAACAGTAAAACATATGAGAAGTAAAGCTTTATTTGATATGTTAAAACTATGCAGTTTTTCATGATGAAAAAAAAATTTCCAAATTATGAAAATACAATAAATGGGAGGATATTAAGGCAAGGAGGGCTGTAGTTAACAACTAACCAATTGAAACCACACGATAGCAATCAAGCAGACAGACACACAGAGAAAGAAAGAAAGGGAGAGGGACGAAGAGTATATAGATAAAAAGGAGAAAACTGTATAATTTAAGATAAGAAGTTCAACAAAATTGGAAGTTATGCCTAACCTTAAATTTATAGATCTGTTGATGTGAAAATGTTACAATGCAATCTCCTGTTTTTATATTAGAAAAAGATCCAAGTGGAACTTCTAGAGGAACAAGTGGTGAGAGTCTTCCATAAGTTTGGACCTGGGACATTAAGCATACAAAGATTACAAATTTACAATAGAAACAAACAGAAAAAGAAAGATAACAAGCATGCCATTTTGTTTTAACATAAATGTTACATTTAACAAGATAAAAAATGTAAATTAAAAAATTGATCAAACATATGTTCCAGAAAATTACAGTACCTCTATATTATCATCAGTCACTTTCAGCACTTCCTGAAAAAGAGGAACAGCAGCCGCATCTCCACAAAGATGAAATTTGTCAGCAGCAATTCCCAATAGAGCACGTGTGAATGAAAAACCCCTTGTTTTACAGCCCAACATCTATGGAGAACAAGAAAAGATAAAAAGAATGAGAAATAAGGAAGATCATTCTAAACATAGCTATTCCCTTTTCCAGACAGCAACAGACTTACAATTTCTTAAATCACTCCAACATATCAACTTCAAATTTAATTAATGCAACTGCTTTGTGTAAGGATACTGAAAATATGGCATGAGAAAAGAGCTGATTAAAGAAAAACTTGCTTGTATTTCATCAATAACAGCAC